GATCTAGGTCTTTGAAAGTGATGAAGAGGGCCGTAACAGAGAATTACAGTAGACTAGAGCTAATCATGGCTTTTTGATTTTCGGCCATTTATCAAATGAGTACAAAGTACACCAGGACATTACTGGCTTAAGATGTATTGCATTGTAGTATTTTATCAGATCAGGGAATGCAAATTCCCCTTGGGACTTAAGGGCTAGGTGAACAGTTTTAGCCACTTAATGCTTCTTGTTTCCCCATATAAATTGTAGCATATCCCATTGGCATTTCTTAAGATGAGATACTGGGACTTTTACCGGGAACATATGAAAGTAATAATGCAAATTTGGCAAGATGCTCATTTTAACTATGGCTATCATACCCATCCATGAAAGAATGGGGACCACTAATGCAGAAGCTGTCACAGGTTGCAATAGGTGTGGGGATTTTGCATCGTATAGTGTATGGGGACAGGATGTTAAGTGGATGTCAAGATATACAATATGATGGGAATTTCAGGCAAAATTGCATGCAGACTGGAGGGTTTCTAGGGTTTGCAGATTCACATTAATAGGTAAGGCCTGAAATTTAGAGTCATTGACTTTATAGCTAGAGGGAGCCCCATATTCTGTAATATGGACTTTAAGGTTAGGATGTAGTGAGGGGTTACGTAAAAGTTAAGACGATGTAATCTGCAAAAAGTGACATTTTGAAGGAACAGCTGTGAATGGCAACTACTCTAATATTTTTGGCATTGCCGATGGTAGCAGCAAGAGGTTCAGTTCAGGGAGGACAGAGGGCATCCCGTTCATGTACTGTTCCTTATTTTGAAGGGGCTGATGTAGCATGTGGGAGGTTCATGAATGCAGAGGGTGTAGCATAAAGAGCCTGAATGGCTTGTAGGGGAGGTCACTTAATACTGATGTGTCTAAGAGTTGCAAAAAGAAAAGGCCAACCAAGGTGGTCAAGTGTCATGACTAAGAACTACACTTTGTTCACCTCTTCTGCAGAGTATGTCTGGAAGCAGGGCACACAGATGCAGAGAGCAATAAACTTAATATATTGTGGAACATTCCAATTGGTTACAACAAGGCTGTAGCATGGCCGTCTGGAGCCACTTACAGAGTCAGTAGCAGTAGTTTTGTAGCTGAAATGATGCCGACAACTTCTACAATAAGGAGTGGGAATGTGGCCTGGCTGCTCTGACCCAACTAGGAGGCTTCCTAGGTGGAGGTAGTGTAATCCCTGCACTTTCCCTACTCATCTGGAACCTCTCCCTTTTGCTAAGTGCTGTCCCTGACAGACGGGAACCTTTTCCCTATACTAACCACTCACAGAGTGAGTGCCAAATCAGGGGGCCAGAGGCTTAAATAAGTTCTGCCCTCACCCAAGATGGTCACGGAGGTCCAATCAGACAGCTGTTCTCCTGGTGAATACAGGAAGTCCTAGAGGAACCAAGTTCCTCACAACTTCCTTCCCCTTCTGCATTGCCACTTCGAGTGACACCTAGTGTAGGAAGTCCAGACTGCCAACATGCTGATAAGGTCTATAGTCCTGCACGTATTGTCATCCCGGCTGCCAGAATGGAAGGAAGCCCTCCTGTTTTAGTTTTTGCAAACATCATAACATAGTAAGTGGAGCCTACAGAAACCAGCATCATCATTTATATTACAAGCACTTAGGGCAATATGATGGCAATATGAAAAAGCTGGCCGTATACTAATGTGGGTGGCCTCCTCAGCACCATTTGGCTTCACAAACATTACAGGAAAAACTGAAGGACCTGGGTGAAAAATTGTTTGTTGAACAGTGACTACATCCTATCCATTGCAGTCACTGTTCAGGTATTCAGACAGTTGTAGGTGCTGCAGCTGTCTGACTACAATAGCCTTCAGGAGTGATTCCTTCATCCACATTGTTTAGCATTGATGGAGGAGCCTATTAGATCTCTTTTATTCAGCCCATGGGGAGGAAAAATCTGGGCTAGCATAAAGCTGGGTATACACTAGTAGAATTTAAAGTATGAATATTAGGAAAATTCATACCAAAATTCCCAGTACATATAAATATTGTTCAAAATCAGTTCAAGATTTTGTTTACTTTTAAAATTTTTCAGTTTTGAATGAATGGACTGTACCGAACGAAAACATTCACTGTTAGAAACAACCCTTGTGAACCAGTGCCTAAGGCAGTAGAATTACACTGGGCACAACCAAACCTTAACTATTAAAAAGTGTGATAACATTTTGCTTGTATTGTTCTCCTCTGTTGGCCAACCCTAGAAATACATAACCAATTTCAGCAAGAAATCTGCAGGGGAAAGGGGCCCAAGTAACATTGATAGTACTGTAGTTAGAAGGCTCTTTATAGTTCAGACTTGGAGCCATCACTTCTTTCTTTTGTTTGTTGGCTTGTATAGTTTAAAAGTGTTTACACATATAAAGCATCCAATGTGCTGCCACCAACAGTACATTCTAACATACAATTTACTACTATAATCAGATGGCACATCCTCATCATCAAGTGTGCTTAAATACAGCAATAACTATATGTGGCATGGAACAGAGCTACCATTTGTACATCATTCTCAGTGACTGTAGACTACAGGGCCCATTTCTATAGTTTTTCTGAACACTTTACTGAGTCTCAGTGTCAGAAGTAATCCTAGCTATTTTGTTTGGAAAAGTAAGAACTAAACGCAAACTATAGTGGTAAAGGGTCAATTTTGTATTGTTTTATTGTTTCGACTATATATGCAATCATTATTTTACCTTTTCCATACATATACTGTAAACTTTACATCTACATGTATTTAATGTGTGACAAAGGATTCCCAGAGCATCATGGGTTAGCTAAACAGAGCGCACAGCAACACTCCTCTTTAGACACACTTTCAGTAAATCTTCGGACAAAGTCGTCTAAGAGATAAGTCACTCTTCTGACTTTTTCACCTGTGTGTGTAAAAATTGAACTATCAAAAGTGCTACTTGCTGGTTGCAAAGATGAATAAAAAGTATTGTAGCGCTATCCCCATAGGAGCCGGTGGGGATGATGCTCTGCCACAGCTAAACAGCTCAGTCCCCACTGCCACACTTAGTCATACACTACAGATTATTTGCACCTGTGGATTTAAGGGTTAGCAGGAATGAGGCCACAACACCTTGGTAGTAAAACAGCTGAATGTATTTAGGCAATTTAACGCAATATGGTGAAAATCAATAAACAGATAACTGCATAGACAAGCACTATATTAGGCAAATGGGCAACAGTTCACTAATGTGCACTTAAAGAAATGACAGCACTGTTAACTTGAATCTTAAAAACAAAATAGTCGCATGAGTGGATATAGCCCACCCTATGAGACACGTGGTTAATTGGACAGCAAACAAGGCTTGTATCAGTCTTTATGATTATAAAAGACTTTTTATAAATTTTTTGCAAAAACCATCTTGCAATGCAACAAAGTAGAAGTAACACACTGTGCCCAGTGACCACAACATATATGTAGACGTTCAAACAAAATTTGTCCTGACAAAGCTACGTTTGTACGTAAGCGAAACGTGTTGACGTCATGTGGCGTCAGTGACTGTCAGGAATAGACTTGCCAATAATGGTGGGACTCACCTGCCTTGTGGGCTGCAGTACCAGGGCTGGCCAGCGGGTGCTCTCAGCAATCAGAGACTCAACCCTGCAGTCAGCCAAACACCTGAAGCTGATTACGGAGGTGTATTTAAGGGATGGCCAGACCTGCAGTCTGGGCCTTGGTGTGTGTTTTTCCATGGGCCCCTGTATCTTGTTACCTGCATTCCTGTTCCTGCCTGACTTACTCGTTGCCTACCCTGCCTGATCCTGACCTCTGCTGTCTTCTCCTGTTTGATCCCTGGCTTGTGACCCCGACCATTCTCTGCCTGACCCCCTGTACCTACCTGCCCGTTAGTTGCTGTACCCGGCTCGTGACCTGACTACTCTCTGCCTGCTCCTCCTGTTCCTACCTGCCCGATTGTTATTGACCCGGCCTGCCTGACTACGCTTGCATTGTATGTATTGTTATCTGTGGGTGGTTTGGTTTGGTTCGTTTGCACTGTGTTTATGTTTTAGTATTGCACTGCGTTTTGTATTGTTAGTATTAATAAATTACATTGTTTATAACATATCTGAAGCCTGCGTTTCCCTGCGTCAGTTCACATACCTCTGGTCATACCTGGAGCCCTGACATTACACCAAGGCCAATCCTGACCAGAAGTGGCTGCACAGGGAAGCCATTTTGGCTTGTTGCTGGGAAGGATGGATCTTGATGAGGTTGTGTATTTGTCGCTGCTGGTTTTTGATGACAGAGAATATGCTTATCAGACTCTGAGGGAGTATACCCGGGATCAACTGCTAGAATGTATACGGATCGCTCATGTTCTAGTAGATCAGGGCACAGAGTTCTCTGAGGTGCAACCTTTGATTCAGGTTTGTGTAGAGTTGGCTTCATCCGGTACCCCTGAAAGCAGGAATGACTTTTTGCCACCATTTAGTGCAGACCAGGTAGAGTCCCTGGCATGGTTATTAGAGGATGATGTGGATTGCTTCTTGGAGCATTATGCTGCATGTTCACCACAGGTATTAAGGGATTGTATAAACGCAGTGCAGTCTTTGACCAGACAGGCTTTGTGTAAGCTCAGCTTTGTTCAACCCATACTGCAGACATGGTCAGACTTGTTGCACCCAGCCTCAGTCAGCTTGCAACGTCGTTCCTCTGCTCAAGGCACTCTTCCTGCATCCCCGACAGCACCCCCAGTGACGGCCCAGTATACTCTGCTAACTACCACATACCAGTCCCCTGCTCCCACTCGCTGCACCTATTCTTTCTTTGGCCCTGTGGAGAGGTCCTCTGTGACGGCTGCTCCCTCCTCTGTTCCATCTTCCAGCTCTTCTCTGTCCTCAGCTGCTCCATTCGTTTGCAGACCTGTGTTTACTTGCAGTGCTCCAGTAGTTAAAACCAGAAAAAAGCAAAAATTCTTTCCAACCAGTACCATCCTGCCAGTATCCAAACCAGTGAGCCTGCCGTCTGAGAACCTGCCTTCCGTGGTTCAGCCTGGTGCCTTGGCACCCGCACTTCAGCCTGATGTCTCTACCCAGCCTGATGATCCTACCACGCCTGATGACCCAGTGTCCGCTGTCATACCTGGTGACCCGATGCCCGCTGTCGAGCCAGACGATCCAATGCCTGATGATCCAGTGCCCGCTGTCATGCCTGGTGACCCGATGCCCGCTGTCGAGCCAGACGATCCAATGCCTGATGACCCAGTGCCCGCTGTCATGCCTGTTGACCCGATGCCCGCTGTCGAGCCAGACGATGCAACGCCAGATGACCCGGTGCCCGCTGTCGATCCAGACGATCCGGTACCTGATGACCCGGTGCCCGCTGTCATGCCTGGTGACCCGATGCCCGCTGTTGAGCCAGACGATCCAATGCCTGATGACCCAGTGCCCGCTGTCATGCCTGGTGACCCGGAGCCCACTGTCGTGCCTGGTGACTCAGTGCCCTCTGCCTTGCCAGATGATGCAGTGCCCGCTGGCGAGCCAAATGACCTGATGCCTGGTGACCCGATGCCCGCTGTCGTGCCTGATGACCCGGTGCCGGCCGCTCCGCCTGGGGGTCCAGTGCCTGCCGCTCCTCCTGAGGGCCTGGCGCCCGCCGCTCCGCCTGGTGGCCCGGCACCCGCCGCTCCGCCTGGGGGCCCGGCGCCCCGCCTGGGGGCCCGATGCCCGTTGCTCCGCCTCGGGGCCCAGTGCCTGCCGCCCCTCCTGAGGGTCCGGCGCTCCGCCTGGGGGCCCGGCGCTCCGCCTGGGGGCCCGGCGCCTGTCGCCCCTCCTGGGGGCCCGGTGCCTGCCGCTCCGCCTGGTGGCCCGGTGCCTGCCGCACATCCTGGACTCAGCTTCCTGACCCTATAGGCATAGTTTGCTGCTGGATGGCTGGATGTCCCACCTGGATCTAATTACCACACGATGAGTCTTTTTAACCATTTATCTTGTAAGTGCAAATTTCCCATTGTTTACTGAATAAATTGTCAATACTGCACTTAGAGGCTCCTTCCTCTCTTTTTCTTGATAATTGACATCCGCACGTGTGTATTATGACATTGTTTTTAATTTTGTTTGTATGTCTACATAAATGTTGTGGTCACTGAGCACAGTGTGTTACTTCTACTTTGTTGCATTGCAAGATGGTTTTGGCAAAGAATTAATAAAAAGTCTTTTATAATCGTAAAGACTGAAACAAGCCTTGTTTGCTGTCCAATTAAACACTTGTCTCATAGGGTGGGCCATACCCACTCATGCGGCTATTTTGTTTTTCGGCTATTTTTTGGTTTAGACAGCAACACTTATCAAGTGGCTAGGCAATCAGTGTTTTCTATATTTCCCTCTTAACTTGAATCCTAACCCAGCTACTAGAGCCTCTAAATAACCTCGACCAGTTCAGAAGAGTCAAAAAGGGTCCTGGTGTACACTTTGTGAGGTACAGACCCTGACTGCAGGTCTGTCCCCATTGATTTTTTCCCATGACTGCCCTGATCTCTGCAGATTTGCTTGGGAAAATCAGTGAACCTCTCCGTCTCCAACTGCAAGGATTTGTGAGTATTGAAGTACACAGCATGTTAGCCTCCATTAACTAGTTTAGTGCAGCAGCCCTTTAAGAACTACAATTGCTATAGTCCAAGGGGCCTGTACATCCAATTCTCTCCTTTGCTCCCACTGGTGGTCCCTCTCCTGCCTTCTGATAGGATCCAATTCTGCATTGCAGGAGAGATGGGGAGATATCAGAGGAGTGAGTGGGAAAACATGTAGAGCCCGTTCTGCACAGATCCTGAGGATGAGGGGGATCCTAGTTTGCATCTCTTCCCCACAACAGCACAGCTGCTGATTCCACAACACACGTCTTAACGTGGAAGTAAAGTCTATTTTTTATGTTTCATTTACAGTTAAGCCTTTAATAAGGCTTACCTGTAGGTACTGTAAATATCTCCTAAACCATTTAGAAGATATTTACTTTAGCAGTGCTGGTGATAATTGGCACATGTGTGTGCCGTCCACTGAGAGAACCATGCTGCGGCCGAGACTCCTATGTGCATGCATGGAAGTGACATCATCGCGGCTTGGCCAGTCAAACAGCCGCAGCCCGGGAAACCTGACGGAAGACCGGCTGAAGATAGAAGGCTTGGGGAGCCATGAAAACACTCTGTTAGAGGGCTTTGTTTTCCAGTAAGTCTTTCATAATGTGCTAGTATGCAATGCATACTAGCACATTATGCTCTTAACTTGCAGGGAGATTTTTTAGATTTATATTTTGTGTTTACTACCACTTTAATCTCCATACAGCAGCAGGGGGGAGAGAAAGAAAGTTTGCAGCTAGCTAGCGAACAGATGAAAGGAGAGAGCTGGCGGCTGCATTCACAGCCCAATGACTGCTCAAAGAGGGGAATGAGCTGCCTGGCACAATATTAATATGCAATATTTCAGATTTACCTGATTTCAAAATATTTCTAGAAAACTGTAGTTTTAATCCTGACTGTAATAAATAAACAAATTACAAACCACTCTACATTCCCTTTAGTCTTTCGATGCCACCGGTGTCAGTAATACATCAGCAGAAATGGGGGGTTTTACACACACTCCTGGCTGCTACAGTAGTCATTAATGTGCGTTAATCTGACAAACCGAATGTCAGATGGAAGCTGCTTAATTGATTCCACACACCCCAGCAACAGTCAGCTCTTTCGCTGTGAGCATCCCAACCATGTTTCCCACCCCCACATACAAGCACATACGAACACGAGTTTGGGGTGACGATGCACAAAAACATTGATTGCACTACACATGTCACATATCGCTGCGCATGCCAAAGTGAGAGCAATAATTTTATGCCCATTATTCATAGTTAACTCTAAATTGATGACCTGTAGAGGCTTTTAAAGCGTTGCCTATGGAAAATTTAGGGTACTGAAGTTTGTCACTGTTTCAAAAGCACACACAATTTTAAGACTTGACAAGCTGGGTATTTATTTACTCGGCACAACCTCATCTCCTATAGATGGATAATACAGTATATTGTGTTTGTGTGCCCTAAAATTAACTATAATGCACTTTTTACTTGATAACTGTTGAAAAATTGATACCATTATTTTATTGTAACACCAGGCACTGTTACTGGAGATGCAGAACTCTGCTTGCCCATAAGATGGTAGTCTTCATTACTTTGCTTTGACATAGCTCTAATACAAGTGCCCAGAGCAATCTGGGAAATGTAGTCTCAAAGAAGGATCCTGCATACAGTGAAGCTGGGGTAACAACTACAAGGCCCACAAGTACCAACAAAGGGGAGGAATGATATAAAAACAAGAGGCCCAAGAAGGAGTGAGGCAAGGGGAGAGAGATGCGCCAACCTGGAAGGTGTGTGTGACCATGGTGTTTGGACCGGGTTGGATCAGACAGCATTCTACAGGGCTGTATCGCAGCCAAGGGACAGGCTGCTGTGCTGAGGCTGCAAGGAGGAACAGGATGAGCACTGCCAGAACCCTATGAAATAACCTCCAGCAGGCCACTGGTGTGAATGTCATTGACCAAACAATCAGAAACAGACTTCATGTGGGTGGCCTGAGGGCCAGACATCCTCTAGTGGGCCCTGTACTCACTGCCTGGCGCCATAGAGCTTGATTAGCATTTGCCATTGAACACTAGAATTGGTAGGTCCACTACTGGCACCCTGTGCTTTTCACAGATGAGAGCAGGTTCACCCTGAGCACATGTTACAGACGTGAAAGGGTCTGGAGAAGCCGTAGAGAACGTTATACTGCCTGTAACATAGTTCAACATTACCGTTTTTGGTGGTGAGTCAGTGATGGTCTGGGGAGGCATATCCATGGAGGGATGCACAGATCTCTACAGGCTAAAAATGGTACCCTGACTGCCATTAGGTATCGGGATGAAATCCTTGGACCCATTGTCAGACCCTACGCTGGTGCAGTGGGTCCTGGGTTCCTCCTGGTGCACGACAATGCCCGGCCTCATGTGGCAAGAGTATGCAGGCAGTTCCTGGAGTATGAAGGAATTGATACCATTGAACGGCAACCACGCTCGCCTGACCTAAATCCAATAAAACACCTCTGGGATATCATGTTTCAGTCCATCCGATGCTGCCAGGTTGCACCTCAGACTGTCCAGGAGCTCAGAGATGCCCTGGTCCAGATATGGGAGGAAATACCCCAGGACGCCATCCGTCGTCTCATTAGGAGCTTGCCCCGACATTATCAGGCAGGCATACAAGCATGTGGGGGCCATACAAACTACTGAGTACTATTTTTAGTTGCTTCAATTAAATTTCAGCAAAATGGACTAGCCTGCTGCATCATTTTTTCACTTTGATGTGTGGGTCTTTGAATTCAGTCCTCTGTAGGTTGATAATTTTCATTTCCATCAAACGATGGCGCATCCTTCATTCCTAACACACTACCTAGTCCATATCAGTATAGATATCCAGCATCATATTTTTCGCCATTCAGATCTGATGTTTTCAAAGTGTTCCTTTTTTTGTGTTTGAGCAGTGTATTATCGAATCGGACAAATTCAATATTTGTGGATGCTAGTCCAATCCACCAAGAGATAAGACATAAGCTGATTGGACAATATGGACTGGCATCATGTGCATCCGAATCAACAAATGGAATGAAATTCAAATCCATTCATTATCCAAATCTGAATTAACAAAGAAATTCGAAAACTGAATTAATTTCCCCATGGGCCCAAACTACTACTGCATCTTGTGACTTCATATGAATGAAACATATGCATTTGTTAATATCGTTGTAACTTTTTTTTCGGAGTTCTTGCCATTCATTTCTGTATCCATGTGGAGATTCGGACACATCCAAATTATTATTATACAGGATTTATATAGCGCCAACAGTTTGCACAGCGCTTTACAATATAAAGAGAGACAGTACAATTACAATACATTTCAGTACAGAAGGAATAGGAGGGCCCTGCTCGTGGAGCTTACAATCTAAATCCAAATCTCTGAAAATTAAACTTTAGTCCAAAAAACGAAACAAATTGCATATGTCCACTTAAAATACACTTTAAAAAATGTGTTTTAAGCTTGATTAATCATAACAGTATAAAGCAGACCAAAGAAAAGTTCCACACTGATTAATCTGTAGATGGTAGGAGGGGTATCAGTTTTAGTGGCAACTCATACCAAAATATATCTTTTTGTGCCGCTAATTAAAGCTTGATACTTATATGGGTATGAAACAGAATTAAACGGAATTAATTATACCTTGTCCTTTTCTTAATATCCTTTCTTCACTACAATTAATTTGGTAGCTTGAGTACCTGCATGTTAAATGAGGATCTCTCTGGCACGCGGAGAGTTACAAAGACCCTGTCTATACAACATCCCAAAGGGGGTACCGGGAGGGGGAAGGGTCTGGCCTGTGCTTCCCAGCATGGCCTGTGTACACTCATCATGACCTCTGACCTCCTGTCAATGTGCCCATCCATGTGAAATAATAGACATGGGCCCCATTCAGAAGACAGGCAAGGGGGGTAGTTGCCTGGCGCTGGGGGTGGGGTTGATAATTCCGC